GTGTCTGTCTGTAGTTCTGTAAGAAAACCTCTGAGCGCGTTCGGCTCATTAAAGCGGTAGCGGCAAACTATCGCGAGATTGGCTCGTCCAGTCCAGTGCTATACACACTCAGTAACCGTAAGCCCCGCCCACTCTAACCTTTAACCAATCAGAGCGAATATTGTGAATATTGAGCGAATATTGTCTGAATGTGTGTGTGTTTGTAGGTCATGATGAGCAGCTGATCCCGTTCAGTCTGGTTCAGATGGTTGGGATCTTCAGCAAACGGCCGGTGGTTTTCTCACCGTCTATTCTGTCCCGCAGGATCATCGAGCGGCTGCTGCAGCCGGCAGAATCCGGTCTGGACTTCAACACCTGCCATCCAGGTACAGCAGCAGATCTTCACTACAACTACAAGCATGCTGCCTATTACTTGAAATAAACTAAATGTTCACTGAAGACACATACATACACAATATAAATACAATAAAAAGTATTTATGGATAGATTTCAACTAAATTGAGACGGTCAATTATATAAACCTACTAAAATGACTAAAGATGGCAAAACAAAATAAAAATACAAACTACATGAAAATGAGAAGTGTTGCCTTCTCAACCAGCTGTCAAAAAATGTGTGTATATATATATATATATATATACAGTGGGTACGGAAAGTATTCAGACCCCCTTAAATTTTTCACTCTTTGTTATATTGCCTTCTCACCCAGCTGTCAAAAAATGTGTGTATATATATATATATATATATATATATATATATATATATATAAACCTACTAAAATTATTAAACAAAACAAGCAATAAAATAAAGTCAAACTTGAAATAAAATTTAATACGAAGATAGAAAAAAATTCAAAATCATACTAAATACTATAGTACTTACTACTACTAAAATATGAAAAAACTACTGAACATGATACAAACCCACAACAAGATGACTACAACTGGAAATATAAAAAACTAATTCAAACTATAAAAATGACAAAAAACAACAAAAACTTAAATGAAAATGATAATCTTAAACTAACTTTAAGATAAAAATGAATAATATATCAAATATAAAAATTCAAAATATTAATAAAAATGACTAATAAATACTAAAATAACACTGCACCTGCATTTACAGCTGGGATTTACTTTGTCTATTTGAAGATAGTTTGTTTTCAACATTTCATTTTTAAATTTTTTTGTTAAAAATCTTGATACCTTTTAGTTCATAATTTCAGTAATTTATTATACATTTTATGGATTATTTTCCCCATTATTATTATTATTGTGTGCAGAGCCAGTGGAAAGTCAGGATAAGAGTGTGTTCCTCTTAGACTCCACAGATCAACCACTGGGAATCAAACTACAGAGTATTCAAGAGGTTATTAACCAGGTAAACATTAACACACACACACACACACACACACACTGAGAGCCACAGCTGTGTTAAAGGGGTCATATGATGCTGCTAAAAAGAACATTATTTGGTGTATTTGGTGTAATGAAATGTGTTTATGCGGTTTAAGGTTAAAAAACACATTATTTTCACATTATTGTTTCTCCTCTATGCCCCGCCTTTCTGAAACGTGTCAATTTTTACAAAGCTCATCGGTCTGAAAAAGCGAGGTGTGCTGTGATTGGCCAGCTATCCAGTGCGTTGTGATTGGCCGAATACCTCAAGTGTGTGACGGAAATGTTACGCCCCTTACCATATTGTGATGATGCCCTGTCCGGCCGGAGCGATGATTCAAAAACATTAAAACCCATTATAAACGAGGCATTCGTTGCATCCAGTGGGAACATAATTATGGATTATAATGACTTATACTGTCTTTTTACGTGTTGCGTTGCATCGTGCCGCGTAAACATAAAACCATGTCTGCATTTGTGATCGGAGAAATAAAAGTTATGCCTTCTTTCTTTGCATGAACATTTGGGCGGCGTGTTAGAACGAGCCGTTTTAGGTAGGTGTGACTGACTCTTAACTTTTATAAAGAATATCTCTTTGGATTTGAGACTTTAGTCTTTGCAACTTTACAGATCTTCTTTATGCACCAAGAGCTTGTAACACTCCAAAGAGAAAGGAAAACTTGAAATCGCATCATATGACCCCTTTAAAACTTTGTGTTTGTGTGTGTGTTCAGGACAAACACTGTCTGCTTCAGCTGGGCTTGAATCATGTGGAGAATCTCCTGAAGCACAACATCTATCCCATCATCATCTACATCAAACCCAAAGACAAGAAGGGACGCAAGTTCAGGTGCGGATCCGTATCCGTCTGTCTCTTGACACTGTAGTCACAACATCAGCCCAACCTTGAGCTCTTGATGTCACGCAATCCTTAAACCCCAGTGAAACCTGTGTGTGTGTTTCAGGAAGCTGTTATCGGGCCACAGAGAGGAGGACCTGATGGAGGCCTGTCAGATGGAGGAGCTGCAGCTGGAGACTCTCCCTATGATGTTCAGCACGGTGGAGCCGAACGCATGGAGCAGCACGGACGAGCTTCTGGCCATCATACGCAGCAGCATCCTGAGCCAGCAGAGCGCCATGGTGTGGCTGGAGCAGGAGCGACTCCAGTAGAGACACATCCTAATGTGTTTCACACTGTTATGGGACAGATGGTTAATGACCATACCTGTCATATAGTGGTTATATCTCATATACTCCGTAATGTGAATCCACTAATTGGAAAAAAATTTAATAAATACATACATATACATATACATATACATATATACAGTATATTAACAAACTGATGCTGGAGATTGGGTTTTCTAAAGTTTTATGTTCATGTTTTATATTATCTTTTTACTATGCATTTCGTTGAAGTTGTTAAACTTTAGATATCAGTGAACTGTACTGTATGTTCTTTTTTTTTTTTTTTACCTGAATCTGTGAAATAATCTGTATTTATTATGATCTCCAACCAGGAGAACTGCATGACTACATTCATAGTGTTTGGAATCAACTACCATCAGGTGTTACAATAGAACATATTTCTGATATTGATCAAATATGTGATCCATCTGTTAAAGGTGACATATCATGAAAATCTGACTTTTCCAGGTTTTAAGTGCTATAATCAGGTCCGCGGTGCATCTACCAACCAAGGAAACGTGAAAAAGATTAACCCAGTAACTTTGTTTTGGGAAGCCTTTTTCTGCAAGCTTCTGAGAAAACGAGCGCGTCTGATTTCTCTCCCTTGGTGACGTGGCAAAGGGATCTCATTATAATATTACCACCCCTTAATCATGAAAGTTTACACCCAAGGAGCCATCACTGTTTTCGCAAGCGACAACGGTGTACCGGCTCTAATGCCATGACAAAAGTTTGAGCAAAACATGCTAACTGTTCAGTCTTTGGCTGCACAGACGAGAAAAGAACACTATTTAGAGTCCCAGCCTCAGAGGAGACGAGAGCAGTGGATTTATTGATTAATTTACTGTATATTGCTGCTGCCACACATATCTAAAATAAACATGCGATTTATTTCCCAGCTGTTTACCTCCACAGACATAACCGACTGTTTTTGTAACTCATGTGTGTTTTTAACGTAAACTTGTGTGTGAATGAGAACTTAGTTTAGTACTCGCATGCTGTGACAGCCGCTTTCTGACCGTGTGCTTCGGATGCATAATAAGTGTTTTTTTATGCTTGTGTTTCTCTCAATCAATTCAATCATTCCTGGGGCCCATAAATATGTAGTTTGTTGTGACTGTAAAGCAGCTCATGTTCAGATGTTCTCACAGATATCACAATCATTTCCAGCATCAACCCGCTCCACTCGTGGGACCTATGCATTGGGTGAGAGGAAAATACCATATTTTAGATAAACACTTACATCTGAAGGAGCTTCAAGCATCTTGGGATTTTACATGTCATCTTAAAACACATACAAACAACCAGGGACATATCTGCTGTGAAGCCTGACCCACGAGAGGCATGTTAGCACTTTTGCTCCGTTGCATCTCTTGTTTTAAACAAGTCCTCTATAAAACAACCAAATAACACTTTTTACAGACTGTTAGAAAACACTCTCTGTCTTTTGATGCCATACCCCTCCTTTCTCACTCTTTCTCTCTCCTTCTCTGAATCACCCCTCCTCTATCTGTTCTCTCTCTCTCTTGTATGGTGTTTGAATGTCTCTTAACCAATATTCAAGGTAAAGGAGTTTGTGCTGATTTATAAGGGGGGTTCAGCCTCTGTCGCCAGGAAGTCTATTCCTTATATGGATATGTTTTTCTGTATATGTGGCAATTTTATACAAAACACATGTTCTTGGGAAAAACATCCTGTATGGGTATGTCCCCCTATCCTCATTGGTTAAGAGGGTAAAAACTCCCCTCGACATGCCTATATAAGATCTGTATTTCTGTGAATAAATTGAAGTATTGAGAATACATGGACTGTGTGTTTTCTTACTTCCCGGCCGTATTTATTTACACTTTAAGGAGACTGAGAAGATTTCACGGTGGCAAAGAGAATATCGAGGGACCAAATTGTTATTTTTATTAACACAGACTCTTCATATTTAATATTGGTATTTGATTATGTGTAAATTGCATTTTAAAATGATACTTTCAATAAAACATTTGCAATTGGTTGTAAAAGGCGTTTTCATGCATGTTTGGCCTGAGTTTTGTTGACCAGCAGGCATCAGCAGCGTGACGCGTCAGTGAATTAGTTTTGCGAAGCAAAAGTTTGTTACTCTCTCAGTGGCGCAAAAAGGGGAGTATGTAGTATATGCAGTGCATAGGGGTGCCGCAAGGAGGGGGCGCAAATATTGCCGAAATCATTCTGTGAAAATCTTCCTTAATAAAACGTTATAAATAATCAAAAGCTTAGTTGTTAAAAAATTACATAATGAAAAATGGATTTTATTTAACAGTTTTTAGCATTTTTAATGAGTTCAAAATATATAATAAACTGAGTACATATCAACCACTCACCCTTCGACACAATATTGGTGCAGACAGAGCCACATGACCAAAATGAATAGAGGAGAGAAACGCTATGGGGCGAAGAACAGAAAAGACAAAGAGGAAAATTGGTAAGCTCTGTAAAGACTCTAAATTCATTCAACATTTAACGTTGTTGCTTAAGATGGCAAAGTGATTAACGTTAATATCAGTTCATTTCTGAGTATCTGTTGCTCAAAAAAAAAAAAAAAGTCACGCTATGTTTGTGAATGGGCGTTTGATTTACATTTGAGAGGAACTGAGATTATTAACAAGGATACAAACAAGCTACCTTTCGCCGAAAAATGCAGTTTTGAATTCAAAATAGGCCATTTGTGTGATTTTTTTGAAAAGACTGTAAAAATGCTACAGTAAAAACCTGTTAAATGGTTAACGGTAAATTCCCCTACTATATACGGTGAAAAACTGTATTGGACATTATTGGACATGGTAGTATACCGTTTTTGGAAGTGAAAAAGACGGTATAATTTACAGTGAATAACCGTAAATTGACATTCCCAGAATTCCCTGCGTTACATTTCAAATTTGATGTTGTTTTGTTGAAATAACTATGTTCCTTCTTAGTTTTTTCTTATCAGTTTTGTATATTAGGGTTGTGTGTTACACCTAATGTTGTTAAATGAATGTTTATTGCATTATTTCAGTTTCATGTGTGTTAACATGATGGTGTTTGGTGTTTGTGTGAATGACACTGTGCACCTTCTATACAGGTGCATCTCAATAAATTAGAATGTCGTGGAAAAGTTCATTTATTTCAGTAATTCAACTCAAATTGTGAAACTCGTGTATTAAATAAATTCAATGCACACAGACTGAAAT